CTCGATAGCGGAAGCGGCGGTGTCGTCCAAGTAGTCGTCATCCTGGTAGTTTGGTTCGCCCAGGCCGGAACTCTCTATCGGAGCCTGCCTATCACACAAGGGAAGGTTGGCCTGTTCCTCCGGGTCCCTCATCAGCCGCGGAAGCCGTAGATTCCGCCTGACCCAACCCCGGGTATAGTTCAGGGTCCTGAGGGCGTGACTCAGCCGGCGGTAGATGAGCCTCTGCATCCGATGCTGGCCCATATTGTAGTATACGGACATCTCCCGCTCGAAGTATTCTTGGCCGGCAGGGGAGTTCTGCCCTCAATCCTCTAGCTTGGCCGCCACAACCTCATAGCACCCAGGGAGGCGCTCATCGGCCTTCCAGCCCTCGGCCAGGAACTTGGCAACAACATCATCGGCAGCTCTCACCGCCGCAGCCTCAGCCTCGGCCTTGGCCCTCTCGGCCTCCTCCGCCAATGCCATGGAGAGGACACTATGGCTGTCAACTCCATCGTTGAACCCCCCCCCCCCCCCCCCCGTCCTTGGGGTATTCAACCTCCAACTTGTATGTGGACGAGCCCACCTCCTTGCCGGCCCACTTCGGCCGGGAGTCCTCAGCAAGGGTTTGAGATCCCCCTCTGGTGAGACCAGAGCCAAAGTCTACAAGGGCACCAACAACGCTTGACCCTCCTTCGTCCACGATTGGGACGGTGAGCACGCCGGCCTCCTCGGCAGTGGCAGAAGACGAAGCCTTCTTCGACTTCTTGGCAGGCTGCATGCCGGCCTCCGTCAGCTTCCTTTGCGTCTCCTCCGCCGGCCGTTTCTTCTTCGGCTGAGGAGGGGGCCTCTTCGTAGCATCGCTACTGGCAGCGGCCTTCGCTGCGGCCTCCTTGGCGGCCAGCTCCTCCTTGGCCTTCACAGCGGCCCTGTTCATCACAGACCGGCGATCCATCACAAAATCTGCACAACAAGCAACAGGTCAGCAAAATAAAAAATAAACAAAGTACCTAAAGAAGCCGAGGGGGGTATTACCATCAGCTTCGGCGGGAATGCCCATATCGGGCCCGTCGGCCTCCTCGAAGGTCGTGGTCATCTTCGGCCATATTTCAATGTCGTCCTCTTTATCACCATACACGAAGTACCTGAAGAAACCGATAGCGGTCATCTTGTACTCCGTAATATAGTGCTTCACACTCCTCGGCCCCCCTCCAAGAAGGCCGCCACCTGAGCATCGAGAATGGAACTCTTCGGAGGATCGTGCAAGGTAAACCTTCCATCATGGCCGACGGAGTGGAACTCTATGCCATCTTCGCCCAGGGACACGAAGACAAATTTGCTCTTCCAGCCATGTATGGACGAGGGCAAATCCGTGAACGTCCTCTTATTTGGCAGCTGCTGCAGAGTGGCGTAGCAGGCACAGTTCTTGTGGCTTCCTTGGCCGATCTGGTAGAGGTTCATGAAAAGGGCCGTTGTCGGCCTGTAGCCCAACTCTGCACAATGAAGGATGAAGCCCACCATCAGCGAGTAACTGTTCGGGGTCAGCAAGGCCGGTGGAAGCCCCACCATGTCCAGGTATTCTTGAATGAAGGGATGAAGGGGAAATCTCAGCCCCTTAGCAAAACTCATCGGGTAGACCCCGAAGTACCCTGGCGGCGGGTTGAGAATGTGGTCTGTCGGCCTTGGCGCCCTGACCCTCCCGAATGGCCCCACGTACATCTGTGCGACCAGGTAATCGGCAGCACTGCTCTCCGGCTTGATCAAGAAAATGTTGGTTAGGTCCAGGTGAGAGAAGCCCGGCCCATTCTTCGGCCTCCTGTTCCTCTTCGGCCGTGGCAGGCCCTTGACGGCGGATACCGGCTTCGGACACGGGATAGCAGTAGAGGCGGACGCCCCGTCCACCACATGGGGGGCCCTTACGTCCTCGCCCTCAGATGACGAAGCGGACCTTTCGTCCTCGTCTTCCTCGTCCGCAGGTCCCCCAGACTTGTACGGGCTGAGGCACTCGATCTCGTCGGCGCACTCTTCAATCACATCGTAGTCCAGAGACTTGACGGAGGGCTCGTCGTCGTACGGGTAATACTCGTCATTTAAAGACTTCATCCTAAACAACTCCTAAGGCACTAAGGCAAGCTATTTCAGATCTAAGGCGTTCTTGTGACTAACATTAGATCGGAGCCTATGAGAGCAAAATATGTAGCAAAATCGAAGAACAGGTTGAAGAACTAACCTTGAAGATTTGAAGGGGGTGAAGAACACTCAGCAAAACTCTCTCTCTCTCTCTAAGAATTTGGGCAGCACTTCGTTACTCAGAATGCAAATGAGCTCCCCTCCTCGGAAGGAGGAGGGTATTTATAGACAACACCTCCAACGGTAACTACACGTGGCAGCACCTCAGTGGCCACACTAATGGCCACCAATGGGGTGCCACCACTCTGTCTACAGATCAGCAGCCCACCACCGAAGCAGGCCCTACGGATCAAGAAGGGAAAATACAACACCCATAACAGCCAGGGCATTCAACGACCAACACAGCCTACGGCTACCCAGGTAGCACATGTATCGGCCTTTTCAAAGGGCCACGCATTATGCAAAGGAAGGTTTCACAACGGCCACAATACCCCAAAGGAAATGGACATAACGGCCATGAGGCCCTTGCACTAGACCCTTGCTGATAACCCTTTGAAAGCGACCTACGTCCAAGGGTTCTCCCACAGGGTTACCTTGGTCAGGAAATCGCCAAAGGGTTGGATTCAAGGGCAGTATGAGGACCACACTTCGGCCTAGGTCTTAATCTACTCCTTCACCCCTCACCCTCTTCGCCCTGAAGCAGTGGGGGACTGGGGGACTACACCGGCCTCGAGAATAAAAGGCAAAACCAAAAGAAATCCAAGAATACACCAAGTCCACAACCACAACATCAGACACGCACCACAACGTCCACGACATCATGGTGCACCATCGGCCACAACAAAGCTTGAGATCACAGGACACTTATCGGCTTTGAAACCATATCACTCAAACCAGGAACCAAGAGAAAGGTCAACATACCTAAATCACTGTCGTCCATATACCACAACGGCCAGACAGCGTTATCAACCCCAAAACCTTGGGCCATATGACGCCTGGTCGTCCAAACACACAAGGCATCATCAGCAACGACCAAAAGGAGTGCGGAGTGCCCTCATCGGCCTCACCAGCCCAAAGGGGAAACTTTACCTAGTCAACAACCAAGGACGGATGCTACCTTCATCGGCCACCTGTGCCAGAACGCGCATCACCCAACAGGACGCACCAAAGGAACAAGGGCCTTCCCCGGCCGCACCAGGGGACAGGCAACGGCCAAACTCAAAACGCAGGGCTACCAATTCCCGCATCGGCCGAGAAGCATCAAGCACAGGAAATCTACTCTCCTGCACTTCGTCTACATCTCAGCTTAGAGAGTGGGGGACTCCTGATGGAGTATATGGGTCTAGGCCCCAGGGCCCACATACTCTGAACAGAAAGCAATCACTACACGGTGCCCTCGTCGGCCAGAAGACCCTCGTCGGCCGAAGAGGGGCCAATCCAGAATATGATCTTGAGGCCAAGGAACCAGGGTGTCCTCGTCAACCGTGCCCGCGTCGGCCGTGCCCGCGTCGGCCAGAGCCCTCGTCGGCCACGGGAGACCCACAGAACCGGATTTTACACTTACTCATTTGTACAGCCCACTAGTGGCTTTGTATTCGGCCCAATAGCGGTCCAGTTGTAAATGGGCCTCCCAAGCCCAAGGCTTGAGAGCCCAGCCCGTATTTTCCCTATAAATACTTCCTCTGGAGGTAGTTATGAGGGTTACAAAATCATTCTATTGAAGCATATATTGCACTTCTCTCTCTAGCTCTCACTTCTCTCTAGACAATTACTCTATCATTAATAAATATGATTAATTGCACTGATACTCCCCAACAACACTTATAATATAATTAATAAATATAATCAATTGCGTTGTTACTCCCCAACAATTAGGGCAGAATACAGGCGAAGTCGGCGACGATTGGTGGCAGATTTTCAAATTTCGAAGACCGGCAACGGCGGTCCAACTGTAATATCAGTCAATTCAACAAGAAAAGTGATTCCAACATTACTCATTTTTATTATTATTACAAAAGTTTGCCTACAAAATCAAAACTCATGTGTTTGGTAAAAACGATGAGAAAATTCGCTAAATAGGACTAAATGATGAATATACTTCATAAATAGGACTCTCAATGATTTATTCCAAAAAATATGACATATTCACTCCTATTTTAGAATAATTTAATTAAATTATTCTTTTAATTGGACCAAATAAGCCCTATTTAGGGAATAAAATATTATTTGTCCTATTTTTGAACTTTATATATCAAGCAATTTCTAAAAAACGATTGTTAAGGGAGACCAAACGGGTTCATATATGAGACACAATATGTATTTGTACGAGAAGATCAATTTAGAATTTTAGACACTATCATTTAGACATGAACCAGTTCCGGGTCGGGCCGGGCTCCAAGCCGATCCATACCGGGCTTTTTATGTTGGGTTAAGGCCCGGAACCAGCTCGGGATTCTACCGGGCCTAGGCCAGACTGGGTCGGGCCGAGTACCTTATTTTTCTTTTCTTTTTGCTTTTGTAATTACCCCCACCCCTCCGAAACACTCAGCCCAACCCATTTACCTCCCCAAGAATTTGAAAACAAAAAAAAAAATTGGTCTGAACCGGGCCCGGCCTGTCCGGTACCAAAGAACCGCAAACCCGTGACCCAACCCAAACCCCCCCGGTTCGGGCCCTAGACCCGGTCCCAAGCAACCGGGTCGGGCTGGTTCCAAACAATGCCGGTTCAAGCCGGTTTCGGACCGATTGACCCAACCCGGGTCCATCCCTACTATCATTATATAATAACCTCATATTAGCCAATAAAGTTTTAAATGAGCCACATGAGATTGTAATGTTTTTTCATGTTAAGAAATTAGAAAATCCCAGAAGTAGTAATTTAGTTGTTTCCATGCTATTCCCATCGTGCATAACAATCTAATTCATTAAAAAATATACCCGTATATTTAATTTTAAATTAAGTACATAATTTGAGTGTTTGCGCCCGCAAGGGTTATCATCACACTTAACAGACCGTTCAAAACTCAAATGTAAGATCTGGCCAAAGATAAACATTATACAGCCTAACTCAGAACCAATCTCTTCACTACTGCATCCATTTCTTATACCTCTACCACTAGTACTTGAAACCCACATCAATACACAACAAAACACTACATTGGGAGTTCCATTTTTATAGGCTCGTGAATAGTCTCTGCAGATTCACTCTGAAGCCAATCTTTGGCACATATCAAGGCCTCCACGGTCTCAGGCCGCAACGAGCATCTGTAACGGTCCATCTCTTTTTCAACAGTGCAGAAAACCGAGCCTGGTGGGACTGTGCACACCGGAACCGTCAAAACATCACGGGCCATCTTAGAAAGTGTCGGGTACTTCTTCCGGTTTACCTTCCACCACCCGATCACGTCAAACTCGTGGACCCGCGGCAACAAAGACTCCTCCAAGTACTGATCCAGCTCAGATTTTGCCAGCTGGCTCGTCGTCTCCATTATGTACATGTCAAAATCCGAAAACCCTAGTCCATTACCCGTGGCTCCCGCATCTTCGGTTTTAGCTGCCCGCTTCATGCCTGCTTCTTCCGAAACGTATTCCAAGAACAGCTCATGGGCCCCCTCATCAACGATCCTAACGTACTCTGACGCTTCCTCACCATAGATCTTTTTGAAACTGAACTCGACGAGCATCATCTTGAACCGTGGGTCCATAACGACCGCAATTGCCAAAACAAGACAGCAACTCTTCCAGTACTCATCAAACTTGTCTTTCATCGGTTTTGTGAGACTGCTGACAAACGGATCATCGCTGGCGGCTGCACGGGCCAACTCCAATTGAATCTTCCATGCTTCATGGAAGAACGTGTTCGTGGTGGGGACTGTCGCCGTGGCAGTCAGGAGGTTGGCAGTGTCGAATAGGATTCTCAAGTGCGAACACAGTGTCTCGACCCGTTTCCAGTCATCCATAGACGGGCCACCCCTGTAATCAGGATCCGAAGTGTCCAAACAATAAAAAACCTCCTTCAACTCAGAAGCAGCCAGTAACATCTCATATGTGGTGTTCCATTGTGTTTTATCTTCCAGTGAAAGATTCTTCATGGTCGGAACCTGTAGATGCCGTTTCAGCTCATTAAACTTCTCCTCGTGGGATTCTGAAGTCTTCACATACCTCACGCTGTCTCTTACTTTCTTGACGGATTCGTCCACATAGTTCAATGCGTCCACCGCAATCCTACTTAAAGTACGGGCAAGGCAGTTCCCGAGCAACAACTGCCCGTTGAGAATCAAAGGGTTCTTGACAGAGAGTAACGCTCGGATGTTATCCGCTGCCGGATCAGTCAAACGTTGGTTGACAGTTACTGAGAACAGCTTCCCCTCCATACCCCAGTCGGAGAGGCAGGCGGCAATGGAGTAGCCAAAAGCAGTTTCGGAGTTGGGAGACGGCTCCATGATGACATTAAGAATCTTGCGGTGAATCTTCCACTCCGAATCAATGAACTGCCCGGTAATGAAAACATACCCGACCCTGTGACATGAAGACCACACATCCAACATGAGAGAGATCCTCCCGGGCATGCCCTCGATCATCCTCTGAACAGATTGTTTCTCTCTGAGGTAAGTCGCTATGCAGTCTCCCTGGACAGTGTTAAAGCTGACCATGTCAAACCGTGGTTGGAGGTTACGGACAAATGAGACGAACCCTGAGTGCTCCACAATGTGAAGTGGGTACTCATGCATGATGATCATCCTGGATATCTCATGGCGGCAACGGTCAGGATCGAAGGAGAAGAAAGGCGTTGCAGCGCCAGTTCGGTATCGCCGCTTCATTGGGGGCGTTTGGGTCGCACCATCGGACCCGCTTCGTTTTGGGGCACTTTTTAGGGCTACTGGGGTATAGGGGCTGTTGTTGTTATTGTCGTTGTTTATCTGATCCTGAGCTGCACGTAAGACTGTGGGGCAGGCACCCTTGGCGATGTGGCGTTTGAGGTGACTTGTCCCCGCCACTTTTGTGCCCTGACTGTAAGCGAAGGATTGTTTGCAATCTTTGCAGCAGGCCCGTCTGCATCCATCCCCGACCGCCTCTATCGTGAAATGCTCCCAGACAATGGATTTCTTCTTCCTGCGCTTGTTTGGCTGTGCTTCTGAACTGTTGGGTGGCGTCTCGATATAATGGATACGTGCTTCTATTGGGACTATGTCATTGTGATCCATATCGTTGTTGAAGAGAATCGCATCGTGTGGGACTATCTCATGATGAGTCATTATCTCACCGTTAGGCATCACCCCATCTCGAACCATCACCTCATCTTGAGCCACCATATCCTCTTGAGACACCATCTCACCCTGAGCCACCAACTCATCATGAGCCATCATATCGTCTTGAGCCACCATCTCACCATGAACCACCATCTCACCATGAACCACAATAGAATCAGGAGCCACCATTTCACCATGAATCACCATCGCATCAGGAACCACCGTCTCAATGTGTGTAATGACCTCATCATGACCCACAATGTCAGCATGTGCATCAGAAGAAGCCTCCTCTTCATTCTTCACAGAAACACCACCATGAGCTACCATACTATTGAGAGTGGCCGTCTCATCTTTAGCCACTGCTTCACAGTGAGTCACTGTCTCATTATGAATTATTGTCTCATCATGAGCCACCGTCTCATCATGAACCACCGTCTCATTGTGTGCTAAGATCTCAGCATGGCCCACAATGTCAGCATGTGACATCATCTCGTCATCAGGAGCCTCCCCTTCATTCTTGACAGCCATATCATCATGAGACTCCCCTTCATTCTTGACAGCCATACCATCATGAGCCATTATACTGTTGTGAACCTCTGTTTCTTTATTCTCAGCTGGAGCTTCTGGAGTGGTTGGAACCTCAGGGGTAGCCATCTTCAACCAAGATCAATGATTTCTGCTCTTGGCGCAAAATCCTCTCCAAATGTACCTAAGGTAAAGGTCCTTTAAAAGGACCCCAAAAAATATTTAGCATCAAACTTCAGGAACATGCTAGTATGCATTATATGCTGGTGTCATAATATCATGATTACTACTGACATTTCTCTGCCTACAAACTTTGTTTTTCATTTTCGTTTTTGGACCAAGGGTAGGCCTGGTATTTACTGTACACATTACCCCATATGTAAGAGCTCAATAAGCTTTACAAGACTAAAATGGACCCAAGATGGACCGAGTAATTAAACCCCTCTTGAAAAATATAGTTAGCATACTTAGCAATGAAATAATGTTAAGGACAATAAGGCCTTTAAAAGACAATAAAGAATTACCCTTTAAAAGACAAATTGCCCTTCATCCATTTAAGCCCCCCGGCCTCTAAAGAGTCAAGAACATTCAACAAACTGGTCTGAAAACTCAAACAAAGTTTGGCGTCAACTCAGATCTAAATCGAGCCCAGAAAACATCAGCGTGGCCACAATTAAAAAGCGCTCTCGAAAGACAGTGCAAGAAAAATAAGTAAGAACAGGCCCTATAGATTAATTAGTTTACGGATGAACTGGATCGACAGATTAAAACAAAAAGTTAAATACAGATTTAAAAGGCCCAGGAGATTAAACTTATAAACAATACGGCACAATCATATTAAGGAAACTGGTTTCGGACAAAATCCTGAACTATTGGGCAAAACAGAAGTATAATCAAGAAAAAGAAGCAAAGTAAAAAGTCAAGATTCAAACCCTTGGGAGAATCCCAGATCAGAAAATCCGATTTTGACAGATACCCAAAGGTCAAAACGGACTCTACGTCTGCGATCGGCAGCTGAAGCGACGGGGTTCAGCCCACCGGAAACGGGCCAGATCTAGGGCTTCCGCCGGAGAAGAGAGACTGTTGAGAGAGAGAATTGGGCTTAAACCCGATAAGGCTACTGGACCTATTAGTTTTGGGGTTGGTTAAAATTGGGGAAAGCGATAAGCTTGAATTGGGGTCTTCAAGAGGGTAGCCTTAAAGAAAAGGTCCATTTTTATTGCTTATACTCCGTATATCCGTGTGTATATCTTAGATTCTTGGGTTTTTATTGGCTTTTTATGCCCATAGAGCCCATCCCTTGGCTACTGTGCGGGTGGGTGGGTGCGGGTGGGTGGGTTAGCCCACTCTAATACTATCGTATTATTGTACTTCTTTCATTATTTTAGTTTATTTTTTGAGAATTCCATTTTTAGCAGGGACCCATATGAATAACTATTTCGGAATTAGATTCTTTTTTGGGGCCTTCTTTGTTTTATAATGTTTCGAATTTGGCCCAGCCAAAATTGCAATCATCAAGGATCGAAGGATACTTGGTTCTTCATTTTATTTCCCTTCGACATCACATCCAATCATATCTTAAGCATATTTGATCAAATTTTGAAAATGTTTATATTCTTTAATAGTTGCATGATGTGAATTTTCTCGCACTTAAATTGATGGTAGAATAGTGGTAAAAGTACGTGATGGATAGTCTACCCGGGGGTATGTATCCGAAGGGTTATTACGGGGAATAATCTAGAATGAAGTCAGAGCAAGTAAATATATATAGAGAGAGTGTATTATAAATGTGGAGCGTTTTCAGCGTGTTCCGACTTGGTTACAAATGGGGAAAAGGGGGGCTATTTATAGTAGCAATAAATGCCGGGCAGGGACACGTGTTAAGCGCTCATTGGCCGAGGGGTCGCCTCAACTGGTTGGCGCTGGCAGCCCGCATGTGGCCGCATTTAATGCGGATGTTGGATGGGACGTCTGTGCAGAGTACGGTGATCTGTACGCATGTGAGGCGGATATCTTGTCGAGTGAGATGCCTTCGGCCATAGAGCAGTAGCCGAAGGCTCCCCCAACCGAGGGCACTTTGGTGCCGAGGGCTCACAGTACCGAGGGCTACTGTTTTCGCCATTTTCTCCCAGTTTCTTAGTTTGCTTGAGAAACCCGTTCTGTGAGAGTTTTAGACCCTTCGGCCAGGGGGCCGAAGGCACCCCTGGCGCGTAGTGCGGGCTGCTTGGTACTCTGGGCGCTGTGATTTGGGCCTGTTAGGCCTGTTGGGCCTTCGATGGAGTAGTAGGAGTCTGTGGGCCGGGGGTTCCCGGGCCATATACTCCATCAGGAGTCCCTCACTCCTTTTGCCGAAAGGTACTTGAGGGAAAAGGAGTAATTTGTGCTTGCCTTTTGATGTTGTCCTGTTGTGATCTCCGAAGTTGGTGAGGAGTTGTTGCTTTTATGTCCCTGCCGAAGGCAGTCCCTCAGTTACCCACATGTCGGGACTTGAGGGCTTGCTTTGTTGTTTGTTGGAATTTCGCAGATTTTGTAATTTAATGATTTTCCCGAAGGGGTCCTCCAGTCCCCCACTCCTTGAGGCACTTGTAAAGTGGTGAAAAGGAGTAAAGTAGTTATGTTGCTGTTGTTTGCCGAAGGCTGACGTTTTTCGTTTCATTTTGGGGGGATGCCTCGTTAAAAACCTCATTAGGAAAAACCCTTTGGGAAAAAATCCTAATAAGGGAAAAAGAGTGCACCGAATTCCCCCAATGATGAATCGAAAATATCAAACCTTGGTAAAAAATGGAGAATGACGGGAATCCCGAAGGCTCTCTCTTTTGAGGGCTCATGTGTTGATTAGCCGAAGGCTGGATGTTGATGTCCTGGTGGCGCCGAAGGGGAGCCCCTCAATCCAGGGATCGAGGGCCTGCAGATGAGGGCAGCAGTGAAGCTGTTACCGGGGGGGTCCACTGTTTGTTGATGAAGTGGTGATGAAGGTACCCGAGGGCTCCCCGTTACCTGTGTGCCAGGGGCCATCCGTCAATGAGGAAACTCCCCGGGGGCTACCCAGTTTTGCAGTGCTGAGGGGGAAACCCCGAGGGGTGCCCTGATATGCAGCTCTAGGGATCTGAAGGGGTGATCCCGAAGGCGTGTGTAATGTACTGTGTGGGGCACAACCCGGGGGCACTTCTGGGTGAGTGCACCCGGAGGCTATCCTTGATGAAGTGGAGTGAAGTAGAAAACCCGGGGGCTTCCAAAATATAGCCGTTGGAAATATAGCCGTTGGAATATGTAACGACGGGATATAGCCGTTGGGGGGGGGGGGGGGCACACGTGGCGTGTGATGGCAGGCTGTCCGTGGGCGGCGTCACCGGTTGGGCGAAGACGCGGTGAGTAATGATGGCGTCCATCCGGAGGCCCGGAATCCAGGCCCAAGCCCGGATTCATCGCCTATAAATACCCCAAGGCCAGGCAGTGCTCCGTGTGCGATAAACTTGTTAGCGAAGCTCTGTCAATTTTCCTAGAGAGAGAAAGTTCAGCCTTCGGTCAAAACTCAGCTTTCGAGGTCAGTGCTCCCTGCCTTTCTCCTTCTAGCATAGCTGTACTGTGCCCTTAGTTTAGGAGATAGAAAATTTAGAAAACAATAGTGTCCGCGAGCCTTCGAACCAGAGTCAGCATGTCGTCCCAGAGTGATTCCCAGGATATTTCGAGGGAGCCTTCGGTAGAGATGGTGACATGCTCAGATGTGGAGTCTTCGAGTGTGGAGTCCTCGGCAGCCGGTGATGCCGCAGTGGCTATGGAAGTGGAGAAGGACCTCCAGGCCGAAGTCGAAGCCGAGGGCTTCGAGCAAGAGAACGAGGATGAGGAGCTTGCCCTTGCCGTGCAAACCGCCCAGCTCCTCCGGCCATTGGACCCGACACCAATAAGTGTGGCTCCCGGGAAGAAAAACAAGACGAAGGCGGCCCCGAGGAAGAAGCAAGCGGCAGTGGATGCAGGGCGGCCGGTGGGCATACCCGAGGGCCATTCGTTTTTGAACACTGCTGCCCTAGAGCTGAAGACGAAGGCGTCCCCGGCAGAATACCAGTCCACCCAGATGCTGGTTGGGCCTTCAGCGCGCGTGGTGGAGCCCAGGGCCGATGACTTGCTGCGATACGCGCCCGAGGGGTGCTTTGCTGCTCACACCCTCTCGGTGGAAATGGGGCTTCGGTTCCCGCTCCATCCTTTCCTCTTGGAGTACCTGAGATTTGTGGGGTTGGCCCCTTGCCAGCTAACTCCCAACAGCCACTCCTACGTGGCCGGCTTCCTTTCCTTGTGTCAGAGCCGGGGGGTCGAGCCCACACTCGACCAATTCTTCATGTCCTTCAACCTTTGCCGGGGGGGACATTCAAATGCTGAGGGCTTTGCCAACCTTCAGCAGGTACCGGAGTTCCGGCTTTTCGATGATGTGCCCTCGTCTCACAAGGGGTGGAAAGATAGGTTCTGTTATATCCGCCTCGAGGAGAATCCCTTCCCGGCCCAGCTCCGTAATAGCTTCCGGCGCCACCCGAAGGTGGGGAGCGCAGCTTTGAAGAAGAACGGCAAAGTGCTTGCCAAGAAGCCGGAGGGGTCTGACAAGCATGTCAAGATCAGAGAAGTCACCCTTCCGGAGGATCTGCTTAACCTAGGCTTCCGGCAGTTCAGGCCGAGGGGCTCCTCGGATGAGAGATACCCTCCCCTCGATAGGGTCTTCGAAGGCGCCGGAGGTGATCACCGAAATGTTTACTGATGCGTTGATAGTTCTTTCGCATTCCGTCTGTTTTTTTTATGACGTAGTGACTGGTAGCCTTCGATTTAACCCTTCTGTTTTTTTTTTGTTGCTTGCAGGTAGCAATATGGACGTTGGTTCCCTCTTCGCTTTAAAAAACGCGAAAGGAAAGAAGAAGGCCCCGGCGGGCGCTCCTTCTAGGGAGGGGCCCTCTCAAACTGTTGGCGCTGCTGCTGGCGCCGGAGGGTCCAAGGGTTCCGGGCCCTTTAAAAAGAAGATTGCTGGAAAGGGGGCCGAGCCCCCGGCCAAGAAGCCGAAGACCGCCGCCCCTACCAAACAACCGATCACCGATGTGGTGGTGATTGTTGACGAAGGGCACACCTCTGCCTCCACCCCCCAGGAACAAATCAATCAGGAGTTCTTCGGGCGGGAGAGGTTGGAGGCGATAGTGCCGAAGGGGGCCTCCGTGCTGGAGGGCAGTTTGAACCCTTCGGCTTTGATGAGCCAGATGCTGCCGTCGGCCGACCGGATGGCCCTTACCCGGCTAGACGAGGGACCCCTCGAGGCGAAGGTCCTCCTGAATGCCGCCTCCGTAAGTCCCCCTCTCTTCCCTGCTTATTGCTATGTTTTTCTTCCGTACTTTGTTCCTTATGCCTTATTTTTGCCTTCGTGAATTGCAGGCTTTCATGGGCCTCTGCGAGCACCTCCGAAGGGTGGATCAAATGAGGGAGGCCAAGGGTGCCGTCGAGGGGGAGGCTACCCTCCTCAGGAAGAAACTCGCCGAAGCCGAGGCCTCTCTACGGCTGGCCACCGACGGCATGGAGCAGAGGTTGCAGGCAGCAAGGGCCGAAGGGGTCAATGAGGGGCTAGCCAGGGCCGGGGAGGCCGCCGCCGAGGCCGCCCGTATCGCTGCCGATGAAGCCCGCGCGGCTCAAGAAGAGGCCGTCTCCAAGGCTCGAGAGGATGCGGTGGCCAGCTTCGTGGCCGAGGGGTGGAAGGCCGAAGACCGGAGGGAGTGGCTGGCTTCGGTGGTGGGGGCTTCAGTAGATGAGTGGGTCGGGGGCCCCGGGAAGATGTGGCTTGCTGAGAGGGGCGACTCGTACTACCAAGGCGGGGAGTTCTTCACCCAACGCCTCATCTACCGGAAGCTTGCGAAGCACTTCCAGGTGGCACCGGAGGAGTTCCGTCCCGAGGCTTATGGCCTCCCCCCCGCCAGCCAGATGTAAGGATCCCGCTCCCCGAGGGGGAAGAGAGACCGGTTCTTGAAGACTCAGAGACCCTCCGGGAGTGCGGCCTTGGCGGTGAAGAGGATGAAGCCGAGAGCGAGGCGATACCTACTATTCCCCCCTCTTAAATTGTATTCCCCCCTTTCGGTGTTGTAATTTGTTGGCCTCGGCCCCCTATGTAAAGTACAATCAAACTTGTCTCTTTTTTTGAATGAATGAGTACACACGCCCTCGGGCCTTTGATATGCAATCTGCTTCTTTTGGATTTGTCTGTTGTTGAATGC